AGGAGGGGGGGACCTGGGCTCCCACGGGCGCCTGCCAATCTCTGAGACGCTACACCAGCTGCAGTGCGGGCTGTGGAGTAAGGGGCGCGCAGTGGAGGGCAGAGCTGGGCCCAGACACAGGTGGCACCTGGCCCGCCCAGGCTCCTCTCAGGGGACTTACCAGTGGGCGCTGACCGCGCAGTGCCCGCACCCGGGATGGCTGTGTTTCGGTTTCCATCGCCTCCCCAAGGGCTCTGCGGCCCAGCCTGTGGGTTTGACGTGTGCCCTTGGGGACCCCCTCACCCACTCGGCTGCTTCAGGGGCTTTTCCCCTGTCCTTGACCCCTCCCTCGGCCCCCCGTCCAGTCCCCAGCCCGCCTCTCCCCTCACCCCGGCCTCTCCCCCTTCTCCCTGGTCTCCCCCTCCTCGCCGCTCACTCCTTCACCCCTGCTTTGCCACCCCTCTTCTTCTCAGAGTCCCAGGGCTGGGGGACCTGGAGCCCCACAGCACCGCAGGAGGGTGCACTGGGGGCTCCTGCTCCCTGGGCTCTTTGGGGGGCAGAGGGGAAGAGCGAAGAGGGGCAGCTCAGCAGGAGGTCCACACCCTCAGCTTTCCTTAGAGCCCTCCTGGCACAGCCACGTCTGTGGTTGCTCACACACTTCTTCCGCCATCTCCACCTTTCGGGGTGCGCTCACAAAGGGGGTGCACGCCCTCGCACCCCCCATACAGTGTCTGACACAGGAGCTGGTGGGGACTCAGGAAAGGAAGGACCCTGCCAGGTCCCAGGTGCCAGTCCGGCCTCCGGGGTTGGCGTCTCCATTTTCCCAGTGCCTTCTCCCATCTCTCATTTCCGGCGCCCCCCACAAGGCGTCTCTCGGTCGGTGGGCCGGGAGGTCCCACAAATGAAGGCAGGCGTGTGTGAGGAAGGGTCTGATGTGAGCCCATTACCTGGAGACCAGCGGACATCGGTTCCCACCTTCTAAGTGGGGTGCCTGGGGCTCCCTGAGAAACTGTATGTGAGGGATATACTTGCCCCAAGAGGAGGCTCTTAGGAAACCCACACAGGTGGATGCTTTTCCTGGGGAGCATGGAGCACAACAGGGAACACGAGGCTCCTGGTGTTAGGTGGCTGGCGCTAGAATCCTGGCTCACCATTTGATGGCTGTGTGACCCTGAGCGAGGGGCTCAACCAGCCTGTGACTCGGGCTCCTGGGGTCCTCAGGAGGACCAAGGGAGAGGACTCCTGTAAAGCGTGCCCACGTGCCTGGCACTTGGCAGAGCATCGCCCACAGCGTGGTGCCCGTGGGGATGATAATGCCAGGAAGAGGCACTGTCCCAGCACAACCCCTTTCTGATGAGACGGTTGTTGGCAAATCGTCTCTTTTTTCCCCCTTTAATATGTTTGTATTGATTTCAGAGAGGAAAGGAGAGGGAGAGAGAAAGATAGAAACACCAATGATGAGAGAGAATCATTGATCAGCTGCCTCCTGCACGCCCCACAGTGGGGATCGAGCCACATCCCGGGCATGTGCCCTGACCAGGAATTGAACCGTGACCTCCTGGTTCATAGGTTGACGCTCAATGACTGAGCCACGCTGGCCGGGCGGCTGTTATTCTGCATATTCAGAAAATATTCCCATCAGCCCTTTGCAGTGGCAGCTGGTGACAGGATACTCAGGGATCGCCACCCGGAGAGCTGATGCTGGGAGGCGAAGGATGCTGGTGCATCTAAAGATACTGGGGGACCACAGACCGACGTTTACTTCAAATAAAACCATCGGCGTTTCTGTGGTCTTCTCAGAGTCCCAGGGCTGGGGGACCCGGAGCCCCGCAGCACTGCAGGAGGGTGCACTGGGGGCTCCTGCTCCCTGGGCTCTTTGGGGGGCAGAGGGGAAGAGCGAAGAGGGGCAGCTCAGCAGGAGGTCCACACCCTCAGCTTTCCTTAGAGCCCTCCTGGCACAGCCACGTCTGTGGTTGCTCACACACTTCTTCTGCCATCTCCACCTTTCGGGGTGCGCTCACAAAGGGGGTGCACGCCCTCGCACCCCCCATACAGTGTCTGACACAGGAGCTGGTGGGGACTCAGGAAAGGAAGGACCCTGCCAGGTCCCAGGTGCCAGTCCGGCCTCCGGGGTTGGCGTCTCCATTTTCCCAGTGCCTTCTCCCATCTCTCATTTCCGGCGCCCCCCACAAGGCGTCTCTCGGTCGGTGGGCCG